GATGCCAATGCAATGGTATGCAAGAACATACCAGTTCATCCACAGTTTTCTAGTCCAAATGTTCCTTCCGTATGGATGCACATTTTTCCTTTTTTAAAAAGAATATTAAAGTAGAAACATTGCTGTGCATTTTCTGATATTTATTTAATCAACCCAAAGCACCTTGTGTAACGCACATGAATTGCTTGGTTTAGCTGTATAGTAGTAGAATTGCTTTTTGAGTGAAATTGTATAAAAAATAAAGATGTGCTTATGCTGAGAAATATATAATATAAATGTACCCATTCTGAGCATTTTTATGGGCTTCTATACCTCTGAATAAAGTCAATTGAGACGATAAATCTGTATAGCTAAACTGCAAGAAGTTCGGATCAATAACTTTGTTTTTGCTATTATTTTTAATTTTAAAAATTGTATGTAAATCTAGAGTCCTTTTCACTGTCCTCAGGAGTAAAAAAAAAGCCATTAATCAATCATACTGTAGGTGCAATAATGCACCGGCAAGACTGGCAAAAATGTATGAAGATAGATCTGCTAAATGTTGGAAGTGTAATCAACCATCTGGTTCATACTACCATATGTGGTGGAGATGCCGAAAAGCTAAAAAAATATTGGACGAAAATACATGGTTGGAAAAAATGACAAAGCAACACATAGACCTGAAATCAGAGATAATTTTGTTGGGCATTCTACTGGAAAAATATGATAAAAGGACTACATATCTGATTTTATATATACTAACCGCAACTAGAATTGTATTTGCACAGCAATGGAAAAATGATGAGATTCCGTCAGAGGAGAAGATAATTAAGAAAATATTAGAATGCGCAGAAATGGATAGATTAACGCTCACTATTAAGGATAAAGAAGAAATTGAATATTTTTTTTTGATATGGGATGTATTTTATCAATGGCTAGTCAATAAAAACAGATGTTAGAAAGCAGGAGTCATAAAAAGAGGAAATGCTAATGTGGAAAGTTGTTAAAGAAAATGATGTTAAGTATTATTGTTATTATATTATTATATTATTACATTATCAATATTATTGTGATGAATACTACAACAAATATGTGGATTATGACTGTTCAAAAATACATGTACCCAGATCACACACTGTTTGATGGAAATTGAATGTTATATAAATAAAATAAATAAAACATGGGGAAAAAACCCCAATCATAATGTAAAAAAAAATGGGGCAAAGATTTAGGGTTTGAACTGGTTGACTTCATTTCAATCATGCACATTTAATTTCATGTTTGATGAATTGCTGTATTCTGTATTTTATAGTTAAAGCTTGGCTAGAAAAGTGAAAGAAAATCTGTGCTATAATGTTATGTTTCCTTTCACTCAAGAGCAAGGGACATTTTCAATGTGGAATATGCTTGTCAGTGGTGCCATATTTTTGAGGCCATTGAAACGGAGTCAGGAGGTAGAGATAAGCCACTCCAATGTACCACTAACTACACCTTTAGCTATTTTATCCTTTAAAGGTTTTTACAGGAGATTCAATCACAACTGTGACATGTAGCTGAAGCAAATTCATTTAATCTGGATCCCAGTACAGATAGTGACTACATAAGAAAGATATAAACAATGCTGAAAACAAGGAGCTGTCACCTGAATTTCATCCCAAAGATGCTTTTTCAAAAAACAATTGGACTTCCTTTATTTTTCCTTAAAGATGTTTCCCTTCTCATCCAAGAAGCTTCTTCGGTTCTGTCCGAAACATCTTCAAAGAAAAACAAAGTCCAGTTACCTTTTAAAAAAGCATCTGTCAGTTTTGGATGCCATATTAGGCCGGAAGCTTCCATGCTGCCACCTTCTCATGTGTGGGAAAGTAGGAGGGGGGGGATTTAGTAGAGGGGTTGTTGGTAGACACAATAGCATTCTTCCTCTCGGTCAAGGTCAGGGCGATCCGGCATCTGGAGAAAGAAAGATGCTTTGAGACAACCAAGATTTGGATGGCTAAGAATCTCCGTAAACACCTGATTTTCATTTTTTTTTGTATGATTACAGAAAGGGGACAAATGCAGATGTTCTTCCTTTATTTTTACACATATGCATTATATTTTTCTAAAACCATAATTCCTGTCATTCTGCATACGTACAGCATTCCAATCAAGTTGATATCGGAAAGAAAAACATTCTGAGAGCCACCAGAGCATGTGCAGAGCTGTAATAGTAAGTGATTACTCAGCTCGATCGAAAGTGATTTCAAATGCAGTACTGACAATAACTAAGCTTTACAAAAGCCACTCAGATATATTTAAGAATATGAAAGCAAGAACCAATATTGATTAAACAAATAAACAGATCAGCAATGAATAATAAAGGAATTGTAATCAATACAGTTAAAAATAAAGCCTGCGGTATTTTCAACAGTCAATTATTATCCTGGCAATTCCCACCTCTGATGCTCAGCGCAAGATTCAACCCACTGCATTTTTGCTGGCAGAGGGCTAGCAAAACAATATAAAAAACAAAACAAAAGGAGAAATGTTTCCCCTTTCGCATTTGACCATCCAAAAAGGGACAGGAAAGGAGAAAGGGAAATAGGAAAGAAAAAGAAAAAGAAGGGAAGATGGGAAGAGAGCAAGGAAGGAAAGAAAAAGAAGGAAAGAGGGGAAGGAAGAAGAAAGGAGAATGAAGAGGGGAGGAAAAAGGAGAAGAGGAAGGAAGGAAGGAAGGAAGGAAGGAAGGAAGGAAGGGAAGAAAGAAGGAAGGAAAGAAAGAAAGAAAGAAAGAAAGAAAGAAAGAAGAGAGGGAGGGAAGGAAGGAAGGAAGAAAAAAAGAAAGAAAGAAAGAAAGAAAGAAAGAAGTGAGGGAGGGAGGGAGGGAAGGAGGGAAGGAAGGAAGGAAGGAAGGAAGGGAAGGAAGGAAGGAAGGAAGGAAGGAAGGAAGGAAGGAAGAAAGAATATAAGAGTGAGGGAGGGTCTGAGGGAAGTCCAGCCTTAGCACTTGGCCACCACAGGTGCCCCCGAAATGAGTGACGTTGACCTGGCCATGCTCACCCTGTCCACGCCCATTTCGGCCACAGCCACCCTGGCCTCCCGAGGTAAAACACAACCCTGATGCGGTCCTCAATGAAATTGAGTTCGACAACACCCCTATGCTAAGGGATTATTTTAATTTTAAAAGATATGGCATTTTTAGACTATGGCATTTTGTAAGATACGCATTTGTTTCCTGAGATCACGTTCTAGTTTTACTTACAAAATAGGTTTTCCAGTATACAAGGAGAAAAAAAATGAATCACTTTCATAACAGAAGTTTCATCGATCAAGCGAGGAGTATTAACTAGGCATCTTGAGATCTCTATCAGGGAAGAAAGAAGCCTCAGGGTATCATAATAATTTACACAAGGAGATTAAAAAGGATGACCACTTGTTCAAGAAGGAAGACAGAGCCATCTTCCAATAAAATACCTTTCCTGCAAAACTCTACAGAGAATGTCACAGGTCTTGTTTATAATTATATATAAGACAATTGTTCTATTAAAATAAGGAATGGGTTGTTGTGTAAACTGCAGGCAAAGGAAATGCTGCTTAAATAAGGCATCAGCAATAACATTTAATTTCTAAGAAAAAGATAGGATCAACTACTTTGGTTTTGTTTTCATCCCATTGTTCATTTCCTAAAACATTATTATATTTCATTCAAAAATTTTGTGATGCTACTGAAGAAAAGAGAACAGTATTTAGCAACTAGTCGCAAAGAAAACACCTCCTCCTCCTGGGTCTACCGTAGAAAGACTTACTTAAAACCCCCAAATTAAAGTCCGTGAAACCCTAAATTACAGTCTTTGGAAAAAACCAACTGTACCCTATATTTTCATCGTGGTATAATAGACAAATTACCACACTTGCTCTAGCAGAAATATCAAGCGAGCCACGTTTGTTCTAATTACACAATGATAACTGTAAAAGCCGTTAAGTTCAACAAACAAAACAAACTGTTTTCTTGCACAGTGCAATACAATAGCACAAAACATCAGGAGTGGATTCAAATTTAGACAACTCTTAAAGTACAGCTATTGTGATCACTGGGACTTATAATAGTTGTTATGCCAATTTCCCTTGATTTCAATGAACCTATTTTTTAAAAAAAAGAATAAATCAATCTGAATTGAAAAGAGTAGTAGGAAAATACTAGTAGTTACTTATACAAAGCAGAAATCAAAATCAATTACCTTCCAACATTCCACTAATGCAGTAATACACACATACACAATCGTAATGTAGAATCCCAGAATGTGGTGCATATGTATATGAATACATGAATCAATAATGAATTTTGCAGGCTATAGAAAGATGAAATTCTTAAATGTAGTTACTTCAGCAAGACTAAATCTCTAATCTCTCTTTTAGCCTCTGCTACATATGCAAAACAATGAAAACTCAGTTATATATAACTGCACTTAAAACTATATTGATAACTTGGGAAAGTAGCAGGACAGATTAACTCCTCCTGATTTTTGAACAAATGTAACTTTCTAACTCTTCCAAATTTTATTGGCAAAAGGCTTATCATAAACTGAGCAAGCACACCAATTTCCTACCTCTCTTCTCATACGCCATCATAGTATGGATAAAAGTGTGAACTTTCATTCATATTAAGACGTCTTAAATTCATATTTTTTCACTCATCAGAATACACTGGCCTTAGATCAAAATAAATATCATGGTGAGATAAGAAATCTCTCTCCTCAGTTTTTTGGGGGACAATCATGTTCAATCTTTTTCTACAGACTGAAAGAGCTCATTCTGTCAGATGCCTCAAGTTCCCCTAATTAATTACTATGATTAAAAGCAAAATTTGCTGCTCCAAGTCACTGTCGCTTAAGAATAAACATTTCATCCATCTGACAGACTTGACAGAATACAACAAAATGCCTTCCCATATCCAAAGCAAACTCCTTCAACAAGACTTCATTGGCAAAGGTTTCAAATGTCACCAAAACACAACAGGGAAACAAATCAGCCTTTGGAAACTCTACCTTCCTGAACTGCTTGAAACGGGTTGTTGCCATCCACAAAAGTCACAGATATGGTGATTTTCTCTGTTTGTAAGATTTCATCGTTTTGGTTGAGATCAGAAACGGCCATGCGAAACACTTCCTCGTCCTTTTTTGCAGATTCATCAAATATTGCCCCTAAAGAAAGAGACAGAAGAAGGACACACGGTCAATATCAGGGACAGGAAAAAATTCAGAGCATAGACATTCAGGACATAGCACTTGAGATACATGTGCCCACATTCAGAGGATTTATAAACATTGTTCCCTTCCAAATCAGCAGTGATAAGATGTTGTAGACATTCGTAAAATCAGAGAATTAGTGGAGAATCCTCAGCTCCTATCAGCTTGTGCCTTCAATATGTCTACATACCTACACAATTCAATGCATTCTTACTTAGTAATCTTCTGAAGCAGGAGTTTCTAATGGGCTGTTATATAATTTTCACCTACCTTGAACGTTTTTAGCCACTGTAAGCTGTTTTATTTGTTTGCTTTATTTTGGTTTAATTGGATTACATTTTGATCGATAGCCAGTTCATACTGTAACATAAACAAGCCCAAGGTACTTGGATGATTCAGATCTACCTGACCATCTTTACACTTACTGTAAGGGTCTAAATATTTCCCATTGCATTCCCAGTAGCACCAGTCAGCATGGTTAAATAATAAGGCATGATAATTCCTCAATATCCAGAGCACTACTTGTTCCCCAGTCTTCCTCTAGATCAAGGGTCTCAAATTCAAGGCCCACAGGCCAAATCCAGCCTGCAATGTGCTTAAATCTGGCCCACAGGGCTGCCTTGAAACAGTGAAGGACCGGTCCCCGGTGCCTTGTCCCAGCCCAAGTTGGCTGGGCACTGATCTAAAACTTGGCACATTCTGGCCATTTGGGCCAGAATGTGGTCATCCTTAGATCATAGGGCTGTTGTGGAAGCGGTGATGGGCCACCACCCCCCGGCTGTGAACTGAAGACAATGGATTTCCTCCCAGTCCCCCCCAGGCCACCACAGGTGCTCCCTAATGTGAGCAACATCGAGGTAGCCATGCCCACTCCAGCCATGCCCACCCAGTCTCCCAAGGTCAACCACAATCCTGATGCGGCCCTCAATGAAATGAAGTTTGACACCCCTGCTCTAGATCATGGGGCAGAATAGTCAGAGGGTATCCATAGACTTCTTTATGATTGGCAAGTGATATAAATTTAGACCTGGAAATTCATAAAATTGTAGGGTTAGAAGAAACCTTGGAGGTCTTCTATTCCAATCCCCTGTCCTTAGCATGAGATGTTATATCATCCCAGACAAATGATTATCCAATCCTTTCTGAATATGTCCAGTGATGGTGCACCCACAACTCCAGAAGTCAAGTTGTTTCATTGGTTAATTGTCTCAATGTCAGGAAATTTCTCCTTAGTTCCAGATTGGATATCTCTTTACCAAGTGTTCAACCATTGCTTCTTGTCCTACCCTCAGGAGCTTTGGAAAATATGAGAAGAAGCAACAGGTGGAAGTTAACTGGAATTCAACCAGATTAACCTCAACAAGTAACAGATATACTGAAGGAGTATCTGTCCTTCCCCTAATTTCATTTGCATTTCTAATTCTTGACATAGCTGAATAAAATTATGACACAAAACCTTCCCTTGTCCTAATTTCATTTGCATTTCAGATCCTTGATACTGTTCCTGTGACACAAAGCCTTTATTTTGGGTGTTAGGAGATGCAAGACTACACTTATTAAATTCACATTTCATCGTGTTTCATCACCACATTTCATGTTATGAAACATTGGGTTATATTCAAGGTATTTCAGGACAAAATAAGGAATACATATTTCACAATGCAATAATTTATGAAGATTTGCTGAAATTAGTATAGGGATCGAGCCAAGAGATTGAAACATTAGCACAAAATGTCATTATTTCCTCCAACAGAAATGATAAAATAGCAGTACAAGGCACTGTGGCTGACAACTTCATCAAGACCCCACACAGCCCGGTAAAAATACATGTCATGACAGTATAATTACAGTAGAACCTATCTGCCTACTAGCTATTCCAATCTAAGTAAGATGAAATTTAATTTCTCTTGAGTCAAGCAAAACTTTTTATCACTACAGGCATATAACTATGTTGTTTTCTTGGAACCAATAAAGTCACAATTTAATATTTAATAACATCTGGGATTTTGTTTTCAGTTTCCAAGAGAGTAGAGTAGAGTAGAGTAGAGTAGAGTAGAGTAGAGTAGAGTAGAGCAGAGCAGAGCAGAGCAGAGCAGAGCAGAGTAGAACAGAACAGAACAGAACAGAACAGAACAGAACAGAACAGGGGGTGGGGAGTATTGAATTATGGGTGTGGGCACACACACACGCAACCCACCGTGCTCCCCCCACTTTTGGCATGTGACGGCAATAAAGGTTAGCCTTCACTGATCTAGGTGTTGCCATTAGTTGTGACCCACTCTCATAATTACAGTTTAATACGATATGTTTTTGTACCGTACTATTCTCAGGACTATTCAGGTTGTGCTCATGTAACCCACCATTACACTATAGATCAAAGATTGGCAGCTTTTTTTCAAGCAAAGGATACCATTCTGAATGTTTATGCAATGGCACTGATGCCAAATAATAGTCAAATTACCAGATCACTGTTCATAAAGCAATTTTGATTATGCCATTCCCAAAAGCTTGCGAGATTTCATGTGGGCATATGAAATTTAACAAGTACATGGGATTTTACAATTTTTTTAAAATTTATCATTTCTTTTATATTTGGGACAATATTGAGGACTGATGAGGGTACACTATTACCCATCAATGTTACACTGCCAATTCCTGAAATAAAATGATTGTTGCTACTGTTGCAATAGCAGGGAACTATATATTGTTCTTTTTCTTTTTTTCACCAGATGAGAAGGAAGGACTCACTGGAGAAGAGCCTAATGCTGGGAAGATTGAGGGCAAAAGAATAATGGGACGACAGAGAATGAGGTGGCTGGATGGAGTCACTGAAGCAGTCAGCGTGAGTTTAAATGGACTCCAGAAAACGGTAGAGGACAGGAAGGCCTGGAGGAATTTTGTCCATGGGGTCACAATGGGTCAGACACGACTTTGCAACTAACAACAACAACAAATAATTGTTCTTTAGATATAAGGTTGATAGTTCTTTTTGAAGTTGTGAATTAATGTGGAAGTTGTGACATTATGCCACTAATCTACATTACAATGACTGAAACACTATATTTATTAGATCTTATTAAATGGGATATAATAAATAGAGTTCCTAATAAGCCATTTTCTAGAATGAGGTAGAGTTTAGCTGATATACAGTATATAAATATATATATATGTATATGTGTGTGTGTATGAAAAATATGGGGCAAAAAGCAATATGAAACGGAAAAACAGGACGAGAACTGCAATTTGATACTTAAAGTTTGAGAAACTGTGCAGTCACCAGCAGGTACATATGTTCCATCAGTAAGTAATTGTGTTGATTTTATTTATTTATTAGATTAATTTGCTGCCTGTCTCACCTCATTTGTTATTGGTTATCTAAGAATGAAATTAAAAAATGCTTTTAAAGTTGGGTGTATTATCTCTTGAAAAAACTACCCTGTTTCCCCGAAAATAAGACATCCCCTGATAATAAGCCCAATTGGGCTTTTGAGTGCATGCGCTAAAATAAGCCCCCCCAAAAATAAGCCCTCCCCAAAAATATTTAAACGCAGAGCTGGAAATCAGGTAAGACACCAAGAGGAGCCCCATCTTGCTCCACGCACCCCAAAATAATAAGACCTCCCCCAAAATAAGGCCAAGTGCTTATTTTGGGGTTCAAAAAAATATAAGACAGAGTCTTATTTTTGGGGAAACACAGGTAGTAAATTGCTGGACATAAATACATATTTAGGAGTTTGGATTTAACTATTTAATTAATGAAAAAGTTTAGTATATTTTTAGCCTAGTAAAAACAACAATGAAAAACATGAAAAACAAATGACTAAGACACTAAGCACCATGAAGCCAGAAAGTTTGGGAAGCTCTGACCTGGAAGAGGCTTTTCCAATAAAGAAACCAAAGGCAAAGTACAAGCTTTCTCCCCAAATTACTTAGCTTTCCATTGTCAGTCTCTTGTTGGAAGCAGATGTTCCTAGTGTGACAACTAGAACAATTAATCAGTGGAATGGCTTGCCTCTAAAAGTTGTGGGTGCTCCAACACTGAAGGTTTTTAAGAAATTGGACAACCATTTGTCTGAAATGACATGAGTCTCCTGCTAGTTGTTGGAATAGAAGACCTCCAAGATCCCTTCCAATTCTGTTACTCTGATACAAAGACTTCAATTCCCAGAATTCTCAGCAATGATCATACTCTCCAAGAATTGTCTCTCTCCCTCTCCCTCCCTTTCTCTCTCTCCCTCGCTTACAAACTGTCCAAGAAGTCCACACATTTGGAAATTGCTGTAGTTTGGAAACGTTGCCCTAGACCAGAGGTATCAAACTCGCATCGTCACAGTGGTGTCACATGATATAGCGCGACTGTTTCCCTTCACTAAACTTGACATGGCCAGCGCGTGACGCATCAGGCCTACGGGCCATGAGTTTTATAGTCCCCCCCAGACTAAACAATAGCCTGGTTCAGGAACATCTTTTATTTATTCATTAAATTTATTTGCCACCCATCTAGCAGTTCACATGACTCTGAGTGACTCTTAGGTCAAAATAAACATTCAACGATTATAAATCAGTGGTGGGTTTCAATTTTTTTTTTACTACCGGTTCTGTGGGCATGGCTTGGTGGGCGTGGCATGGCTTGGTGGGTGTGGCTTGGTGGGTGTGGCAGGGGAAGGATACTGTAAAATCTCCATTCCTACCCCACTCCAGAGGAAGGTTACTGCAAAATCCCCATTTCCTCCCGATCAGCTGGGACTTGGGAGGCAGAGAATAGATGGGGGTGGAGCCAGTCAGAATTTTTACTATCAGTTCTCCAAACTACTCAAAATTTCCACTACCGGTTCTCCAGAACTGGTCAGAACCTGCTGAAACCCACCTCTGTTATAAATATAAAAATGGATTACAAAAATTAAAAGAAACTTTTAAAAGAAGGGTTTTCTTTAGTTGTTTAATTCTCAAATGAA